AAATAAGTGCCTGACACTGCTTTTTAATTATATATATATATAGCTATGAATATATAAATATGTAAAATATTTTTTATACACTAAGAAACTTTTAAAATGTGGTAAGATATTGAGTTTACACATTCGGTATCATGTTTTTCTTTTTAAATTTATTTTACTTTTCTGTTGAATCAGAGCTATCCAGAAAGAGTATTAAAAAGCAGTGTCAGGCACTTATTTGAAGAACTCTCTGTTGAGAAGACATGCTGAGACATCTTTTTGTGCAGAGCTTGGGAAATCTTATTGTGCACAGAGGAAAAAAGAACCAAAGTTATCAAAGAAAACCAGACTTGTTTCAAAAGGACACAGGAGAAATCCACCATTATCCTGATATCAAAATCAAAGACACTACACAAAAAGAAAACCATAGACCATGCTCTCTTAAGAACACAGATGTAAATAATTAACAAAATATTAGCAACTCCAATCAGCAAAATATAAAAGGATAATACATCATGACCAAATGAAGTTAATTCAAGGAATGTAAGGTGTAGCATTCAAATGAAAAAAATATCATGCATCACATTAACAGAATAAAAGAAAACCATATTATATCAATAAGTACAGAAAAAGCCCTATTAATACTATTAACATATTAAACCCCTATTCAAATAGACTCAGTAACCAAGGAATAAAAGAGAATTTGCTTGATTTGATATATATCTATAAAAAACTAAAACTAATATCTTACTTGATGTTTAAGTGTGACTAATTTCTCCTTAAGAACAAAGGAAGAATATTAGCTCTCAACCTTTAATGTTTTATTGAAGGTTTTACCCAATGCAATAACCCAAGAAAAAGATCAGAGATTTCAGAGGAAGAAGATAAATTGTCTTTATTCACAGTCAACATTATTACAAACTATACAATGAGGCCAGGTGCGGTGGCTCACATCTGCAATGCCAACACTTTGGAAGGCCGAGGTGGGTAGATCGGGTAGATTATGAGGTTAAGAATTCCAGACCAGCCTGGCCAATATGGTGAAACACAGTCTCTGCTAAAAATGCAAAAATTAGCCAGGCGTGGTGGCGGGCACCTCTAATACCAGCTACTCAGGACACTGAGACAGCAGAATCACTTAAACCCAGGAGGCGGAGATTGCAGCAAGCTGAGATCACACCATTGCACTCCAGCCTGGGCAACATAGTGAGACTCTGTCCCTCTCCCATGCCTGTCAAAAGAAACTCTACAATGAAAAGGGTCAGACTGATCCCCACCTAACCAATCTTAACATTACTAGACATAGGCCAACCAGATACCATGTCTCTGATGTGACACAATACAAAGCAACACAGACACCATCTATGAAGTACTCTTGCCAAAAATATTGAAGTTGAGTCTAATCAAGTAATCAAGCCCCAAGATCGGCACTGAGCACTGTCCAGAACTTTCTGATGATGGGAAGTTCTGTATGTATGTATATATATACATATTTAAAAAAAAATTTTTTTTTTTTTTGAGACACAGTCTTGCTCTGTCACCCAGGCTGGATCTCAGCTCTCTGCACACTCTGCCTCCCAGGTTCAAGCAATTCTCCTGACTCAGCCTCCTGAGTAGCTGGGATTACAAATGCATGCCACCACACCAGGCTAATTTTTGTATTTTTAGGAGAGATGGAGTTTCACCATTTTGTTCTGGCTAGTCTCAAACTCCTGACCTCAAATAATCCATTCATCTCGGCCTCTCAAAATGCTGGGGATTACAGGTATAAGCCACCACACTCAGCCTGTATATGGCTCTTGAGCACTTGAATTGTGGCCAATGCAACTGAGAAACTAAATTTTTTTCAAGAGACAGGGTCTTGCTCTGTCACTGAGGCTGGAATGCAGTAGTACAATCGTAGCTCATTGTAACAAACTCCTGGACTCAAGAGAGCTTCCCAAAGTGCTGGGATTATAGGCATGAGCTACTGCATACAGCTGAGGAACTGAATTTTTAATTGTATTTAAATCCAACTACTGTAAATTTAAATAGCCAACAGTAGTTAGTAAAACAGCTAGTATTGGATAGCACAGCTCTGCAGGTACGTTCCACTTACAGAAATGCAAAGGAAAAAGGAATAAATTAAATGACACTAAAAGAAGTAAAATTACATGACAAGTACAACGAAAAATCCAGAATGTGAAACACTCTATAAGAGAACTGACCTAGTTTTAGCAACCAAGTCAATGTACTGAAAAGGGAACAGGAGACAACTACAAAGAGATTTAGAAAACATAACTACCACGTTTGTTTGAATCCCAGTCCTTCTTTGAATCCCAGTCAAATAAACTGCAAAAAGGCATTTCTGAGACAATTCGGACAAGGTATTGTAACAACAGAATTATAGTCACATAAGAAAATATTAGTATTTTATAGAGCTGCACACTGAAGTATTGCAGAAGTGTAATGATATTTAAGATTTGCTTTAAAAATCTTTATCAACAGCATAGCATAGGGAACTTAACAAATAAAGTACTATATATCTATAAAATAAAGTATTATGAACTTTTTAAAAATAGTGAATCTCTAAGTGCTAACATGGATAAATACCCAAGCTATTTATCAAAAAAAGAATAAGTTGCAGAAATATAGCATGATTCCATTTGGGTGAAAGAAAGCAGACAGGGAAGACCTACATACAGAAGACGGGAACCTGTTAATTTTTAATTTTATATTCTTGTGTATTGTTCGAACTTTTTATTTTTATTTATTTTGAGATAGTCTCACTCTGTCGTCCAGACTGGAGTACAGTGGTGCAAGCCCAGCTCACTTCAACCTCCACCCCCGGGTTCCAGTGATTCTCACACTTCAGCCTCCTGAGTAGCTGCGATTACAGGCACCTGTCACCACATCAGGCTGGCTTGCTTATTTATTTATTTAATTTTTAGTAGAGACAGGGTTTTGCCATGTTGGCCACGCTGGTCTGGAACTCCTGACCTCAAGTGATCCACCTGCTTTGGCCTCCCAAAGTGCCAGGATTATGGGCATGAACCACTGCACCCAGCCTGAATTTTTAAACGAGTTTTTTTTTTTTTTAAACATAGAAATTTGTCATAAAAACAAAACAAAACAAAACAAAACACTCCAAGCGGGTCCTACCCAATTTATGAACAATCTCTTTTTTTCCTGCATGTCGTTGCCCAGGCTGGAGTACAGTGTGGTGATTAGAGCTCACTACAGCCTTCCAAAGTAGTAGCTGGGATTACAGGCAAGAGCCACCCCACTGGCTTGAATGGTTTTTTTTTGTTTTTTTTTTTTTTTTTTAATATTTTCAATGTCAAGCACCATATTACTTTATAAGATGAATCCTCCTCACAAATAGTTCCAATTGTTAGAAGGTAAATTCTTAACACTGAATAGAAATTCGTGTTTTCTGTATCTTCCAGCCCTTCAGACCTCTAGACCTCTTTCCACATTTTTTGGAGACAAAGTCTCACTCTGTTGCCCAGGCTGGTCTGCAGTGGCCCAACCTCGGCTTCCTGCAACCTCCACCTCTCAGGTTCAAGCAATTCTCCTGCCACCGCCTCCTGAGTGGCTGGGACTACAGGTGTGTGTCACTATGCCCAGCTAATTTTTTTCTATGTTTAGTAGAGACAGGGTTTCACTGTGTTAATCAGGATGGTCACGATCTCCTAACCTCGTGATCTGCCCGCCTCAGCCTCTACCTAATTTCTAAAGCTGCACTATTCAATAATGGTAGTCACAAGTTACATGTAGCCATTAGACACTTGAAAAGTGGGTAGTCCAAATTGAGATGTGCTGTAGGTGTAAAATACCAGTTTTCCAAGACATGTTATAAAATAAAGGAATGCCAAATATCCCACTAGTGTTTCATCACAATGACTGTGTGTCAAAAGAATATTTTCAATAAATCAAGTTCAATAAAATATACTGGGCTAGATATGGTGGCTCACGCCTATAATCCCAGCACTTTGGGAGGCCAATGTGGGCAGATCACCTGAGGTCAGGAGTTCTACACCAGCTTGGCCAACACGGTGAAACCCATCTCTACTAAAAATACAACAAAATTAGCCAGGTGTGGTGGCGGGCACCTGTAATCCCAGCTACTCAGGAGGCCGAGGCAGGAGAATTGCTTGAACCCAGGAAGTGGAAGCTACAGTGAGCTGAGATCATGCCACTGCACTCCAGCCTGGGTGACAGAGTGAGACCCTGTCTCAAAATAAATAAATAAATAAAATTTAAAAAACAATTTTTAAAGATCGTCAGCAACAGAAAAGGTCTAGATGAAGCAAACATAGTAAGTGACATGGGTGATTGATAAATAGGAATTCCTTGCCCAATTCACTTACTTTTGTCCATGTTTTAAGTTTCTAAGAACTAAAATGCTAAAAACAAACAAAAAAAACATAGTATGAAAGATTTGAGAAGCAAGATCAAAGTATTCCCAGGTCCTTGTTCATTCCATAAAAAGAAAAAAGACTCTACTTAACTTTAGACTTTAAGGAAAGCAGGCACAATAAATGATTAAATCAATTAACAAAAGAATAAAAACAGAACACCAAACTTCTAAATCAGGAGAAGAAACTGAATAAAAGAATATAAAAAGGAAATAAACAACAGTATCATTCACTTATCAATTATTCAAGTATCTGTCTACTAAAGCAATTTTCAAAGTATGATCCATGAACCCTCCTTTTTAGGAGTTTCAGGGGTTCAAAACTATTTTCATAATAGCACCCCAAGACACTATCTGCCTTATTATGTTGAAATTTACAAAAATGGTGCAAAAATAGGCAGTAAAACTTCTAGCAATTGAACATGAATTGAGGCAGCAGTATCAACTGTGACAGCAGTAATAGTCATTGTTTTCTCCACCACCACTCACTGTCTGTTTTTTATGATAGTATTACTTAAGAATGTCCTTCATGAAGACAGTAAATATAATTTATATTATCTTCGTCCTTACACACATCCTTTTGTACTATGTATTAAAAAAATAGGAAGTGCATACAAAGCATTTCTGCTATATATTTGAAGTACAATGGCTACTTTGAGGAAAAGCACTTGTACAATTATTTGAAGTACAAGCTGAAACTAGCTTTTTTCATGAAACACCATTTAAAGAACAAAAGGACTAGTAGATAAACTAAGATTATTCATATTTGGTCATTTGGCAGATTTGGTTATTAGTTCATCGAACATGAACAAAATGAATTTGTCATTTAAGAAGAACTGATAATTTTGAGCCTGACTGATAAACAATGACTGCTACTGCTAATACAGTTGGTACCACTGCAAGATTTAGAATTTTGGAAAACTTTATCTGACACAGTAAGCTTGATAGCTTTCTAACACTTAAATACTTTTCAGATGAGATCACTGGTAATATTAATAAATGAAATATTTTGATACTCTGTATTGACTGAATTCCACATGCTCAAATTCAACCAACCACAGATAAAAATATTATTTTTCAAAAATGAAAAGTTAACAGTACAACAATAAAAAGATGTAAATTGGGCCGGGCGCGGTGGCTCAAGCCTGTAATCCCAGCACTTTGGGAGGCCGAGGCGGGTGGATCACGAGGTCAAGAGATCGAGACCATTCTGGTCAACATGGTGAAACCCCGTCTCTACTAAAAATACAAAAAAAAATTAGCTGGGCATGGTGGCACGTGCCTGTAATCCCAGCTACTCAGGAGGCTGAGGCAGGAGAATTGCCTGAACCCAGGAGGCAGAGGTTGCGGTGAGCCGAGATTGCGCCATTGCACTCCAGCCTGGGTAACAAGAACGGAAGTCCGTCTCAAAAAAAAAAAAAAATGTAAATTGTAAAAGCAATACAGTATAACAACTATTTACATATCACTTACATTGGATTAGGTATTTATTATAAATAATCTAGAGATTATTTAAACTACACTGAAGGACCAGGTACAGTGGTGCACACCTGTAACCCCAGCACTCTGGGAGACTGAGATTGGTGGATCACTTGACGCCAGGAGTTCAAGACCAACCTGGCCAACATGGTGAAACTCCATCTCTATTAAAAATACACACACAAAAAAAATTAGCTGGGTGTGGTGGCACATGCCTGCAGTCCCAGTTACTTGGGAGGCTGAGGCACGAGAGTTGCTTGAGCCAGGGAGGTGGAGGTTGCAGTAAGCCAAGATCACACCACTGCACTCCAGCCTGGGCAACAGAGCGAGACCCTGTCTCAAAAAAAAAAAAAAAAAAAAAAAAAAATAGTACACTGAAGAATGTACATGGGTTAGATGAATACTGTATCATTTCATATCAAGGACTTGAACATCCGTAGATTTTGTTATCTGTGAGGGTTCTAGAATATCAATCCTCCACGGATATTTAGAGATGACTATATATAACAAAATGTGCCAACATTCAGATCTGTATAACCCAGTGAACCAATATTTTTCAAATGACAATGCATGTCACAAAATCGAAAGATCCATTCAGTTATTGTGAGAGTACAACTACTAACAGGGCTTTAGATTCCACATTGCAACTAACCTTTAAGAAACTACCACTTGTCAATTTTTGGTGTAGTAGCACAAGAAAAATATCTGAAGAAGTTATTAAATACTTTCCTCTCTTCTCCAATTGCATAGCTACACGAGGCTGGATTTTCTTCATATACTTCAACCAAGGCAATATTCAGCAATAGGCTGAATGCAGAGGCAGATATGAGAATTCAACTATCTTACCACACTCAATATTATAGAGACTTGCACAAGTGTAAAACAATGTCATTCAATTAGGTTTTTGTTATTGTTTTGGAAAATATAGTGGATGTCTATAAAAATAATTTTATTCATGTTATTATACAGATTATTTTAATAAAATAAGTGGTGCTTTAAAATTTCTCTAAAATATAAACAAATGTAATTAATAAAAGTACTTTGCAGTCTTCAATAATTTTTAAGACTTTAAATAAGTTCTAAGACAAAAAAAGTTTGAGAATTACTCTACTTTATGCAAGGATTTTAAATCCCTACATAGGATTCATTCATCTGAGGAGAGGATTCATTCATCTGAGGAGAACTATTTAGTTATGTCCCAAGTATACAAGGGATGTGAAAAGTAAATGGCCATACATTCACTTACCCACTATTAAGAGTAAAAAGACTATTAAATGGGGCTACATACTAATAGCAGTGGGTCTCTAAATTTTTGACAACATTAAATCAGCCCTTTTCTTCCATACAGACCTCTTTCTAAAAGCTAGTTTCTTTAGAGAACAATTTAATTTCATGCTAGAACACAAACGCATTGAAGAACCTTTGTAAAAAAAGAAACTGCCCTCAAAGCACAAACCAACAGAGTAATCCTTTCAAATTGTTTTTTCCTATGAATGTTAGGTATGCAGTACTTCAGTGTTAACATGTGAAATTTAATGTATAGCTTTTTACTTTGCAGCCTGCTTTCTATGTGTTTTCCTACAAACATTCCACCACACTAAAGTCTAGCATCAATAAATGTGCGCTATTCAATCTTGCTAATAAAAAATGCAACAAACAATTTTATGCTTCTCACTTATTATAATGGCAAAAAAAAATTTTTGAAGATAGTTCTCAAATCAGTGAAATCACAAGAAAAACCAACATTCTTTATATGCAAAAAGCATGAGTAAAATTGGTAGAATCCTTTTTGATGTCACATGTACTCGCCTACAACTCTTTACCACATCACCCATCTAGTTTATTTCCTTCCCAGTACTCATTCAAATTTTTAAAAAAATTTACAGTTCTTAAGGCTGGGCACAGTGGCTCACATCTATATTCCCAGCACTTTGGGAGGCCAAGGTGGGAGGATCATTTGAGGTCAGGAGTTTGAGACCAGCCTGGCCAACATGGTAAAACCCCATTTCTACTAAAAATACAAAATTTATCTGGATGTGGTGGCATGCCCCTGTAGTACCAGCTACTCGGGAGGCTGAGGCACAAGAATCACCTGAATCCAGGAAGCGGAGGTTGCAGTGAGCCAAGATGGCATCACTGCACTTCAACCTGAGCAACAGAGCAAGACTCTGTCTCAAAACAAACAAACAAACAAAAAAATCCTTCTTAAAAACAAATTATCTGCCTCACTTCCAATAGAATGCAGACTTCATAATAGCAGGAGCTTTGTTAGCTAGTGTATTCAGAGCCTAGGACACCTTCTGCCACAGAGTAAGTGTTCAAAAAACCTAATAAATAATTGATAGTTACAGTAGTATTTTTTTTTTAAGTAAGCACAAGCAAAAAACACCCATGGAAATAACCTGTATGTATGTCCATCAAATCCAGAATGACTATATGAACTATGATACTTCCATTCAGTGGCATGTAAATTGTCTGTTACAGTTATGATTTTTTTTTTTTTTTTTGAGACGGAGTTTCGCTCTTGTTACCCAGGCTGGAGTGCAATGGCGCGATCTCGGCTCACCGCAACCTCCGCCTCCTGGGTTCAGGCAATTCTCCTGCCTCAACCTCCTGAGTAGCTGGGATTACAGGCACACGCCACCATGCCCAGCTAATTTTTTTTGTATTTTTAGTAGAGACGGGGTTTCACCATGTTGACCAGGATGGTCTCGATCTCTTTACCTCGTGATCCACCCGCCTCGGCCTCCCAAAGTGCTGGGATTACAGGCTTGAGCCACCGCGCCCGGCTTTTCAAATCAATTTTTAAGAGAAGCCAGCGTTACCAGGCAGGGTCTAGGCATACAACTGACACAGAAGAAAACCACTATAGAGAACTGGTTATACAAAACAGAGAAAAGTGAGGCAGCCCAGAGACTAGTAACAGCAGGCAGCTTCTATGACTTCAGGCACTAAAGGACAGTAAGATGGTGTAGTCTCCCATATCCCAGAAGCTCAGGATGGTGCTAGAACCATGGCAAGATCCGCTCAGTACTAATTGGGACCATGAAGAAGGGGCTGTGTTCATGGGACACAAGGGAGGTGCTGCTAGAGTTGGCTCAAAAAGGAGTTGGTAAAGACCCTGGCTTCTTCCCTCCTCTTATCCTACAATCTTCTGTTAGTGCTTCCTATTAGCCAACTCCAGAAAGCAAAGAAGTCTAGGAAATTTAATTCCCGCCAATACAGAACAGAACAGAGAAAAAGCAGAAATGGATTTGAGAGTGAGCTAGAGGCTAACAGAGTCAGTTATCAGTGCATGCCCTAACTTCCCATATTCTATGGCAGAAGAGGATACACATGTAGTAGCTCACTGTCTGCCTTACCTTCACTTAAGAAATAAGAAACTAGATTTGTGGTGGGCAGAGAACCTAAAGTACAAAATGTAATCGTAATTTTTTTAAGTAAATGATTAGAAATGCTGTTATTTACTAGAGCAGCAAACTAACCAAAGCAAGTCACATGTATAGATTATGTAAAATTTTAGCATATTAAATCTCTATATGCCTGTGAGGAATTTCTGAAAATATATTTTTAAAAAAATGACTTTTTTTTTCTGACATGGAGTCTCGCTCTGTCGCCACACTGAAGTTCAGTGGCACCATCTTAGCTCACTGCAACCTCTGCCTCCCAGGTTCAAGTGATTCTCCTGCCTCAGCCTCCTGAGTAGCTGGGATTACAGGCGTGTACCACCATGCCTAATTTTTGTATTTTTAGTAGAGATGGGATTTCACCATGTTGCCCAGGCTGGTCTTGAATTCCTGACCTTAAGTAATCCACTCACCTCAGCCTCCCGAAGTGCTGGGATGATAGGCATGAGCCACTGTACTGGGACAAAAGAAAATAACTTTTTAAAAATAAAAGTTCAGCTTAAAGACCAAGAATTTAAACTTATGTTGCCAACATGCATTTTTTAATGCCTTCCTTTAAAACCATTTTAGACAAAATACTTAAAATCCACATCTTTTCAAAAAGAATAACATAAAAGTCTAGGTTAGGAACTAAAAAATAATTGATAAAAATTCTAACAGAGGGAAAGAAAACTCTTAAGTTTTTTTTTTTTTTTGAGACAGAGTCTCACTCTGTCAACCAGGCTGGAATGCAATGGCGTGATCTCAGCTCACTGCCACCTCCTCCACCCGGGTTCAGGCAATTCTCCTGCCTCAGCCTCCCAAATAGCTGGGACTACAGGTGCATGCCACCACGCCCAGCTAATTTTTGTATTTTAGGAGAGATGGGGTTTCACCATGTTGACCAGGATGGTCTCGATCTCTTGACTTTGTGATCCGCCCACCACAGCTTCCCAAAGTGCTTGAATTACAGGCATGAGCCACTGTGCCCGGCCAAAAAACTATCTTTTTCTTAACTTTTGTTTTAGGTTCAGGGGTAAATGGGCAGGTTATATAGGTAAACTCATGTATGTCATGGGGCTCTGTTTACAGATTATCACACAGATATCTGTGTGACACAGATATCACACAGGTATTGAAAGCCTACTATCCAACAATTATTTTTTCTGCTTCTCTCCCTCCTCCCAGCCTTCACTGGACCCCAGTTTCTGTTGTTTCCTCGTGTCCATGAGTTCTCATCATTTAGCTACCACTTATAAACCAGAACAAGCGATATTTAATTTTCAGTTCCAAAATTAGTTTGCTAAGGAAAATGGCCTCCAGTTCCATTCATGTTCCTTCAGAAGACATAATCTTTCTTTTTTATGGCTGCACAGTATTCCATGGTGTATATGCACATTTTCTTTATCCAGTCTGTCACTGATGGGCAGTTAGGTTGAATCCATGTCTTTTCTATTGTGAATAGTACTGCAATGAACACTACATGCATGTGTCTTTATGACAGAATGAATTATATTCCTCTGGGTATACATATCCAGTAATAGGATTGCTTGGTTCAATGGTTCTAGAAAAGCCTTAGTTCTAGAAAAGCCTAATTTCATTTAAGTATTCTTTTGGTCTTAGACCAGAAACCAGCAAGCTTTTCCTGTAAGGAACCAGAAAGTAAATATTTTACGCCCTGGCGGGCCAGTCTGTGTCACATCTACTCAACTCTGCCACTATGGGGCAAAAGCAACCACAGACAATATATAAATAAATGAATGTGGCTGTGCTCTAATAAATCCTTATTTATCAATACTGAAATCTGAATTTCCCACAACTTTCATATATCATAAAACATTCTTTAACTTTTAAAAAATATAAAAATAATTTTCAGTTGGCCAGGAATGGTGGCTCATGCCTGTAATCCCAACTCTGTGGGAGGCCAAGGCAGGTGTATCACCTGAGGTCAGGAGTTCAAGACCAGACTGGCCAACATGGTGAAATCCCATCTCTACTAAAACATACAGAAAATTAGCCACGCGTGGTGGCGCGTGCCTGCAGTCTCAGCTATTCAGGAGCCTGAGGCAGGAGAAATGCTTGAACTCAAGGGGCGGAGGTTGCAGTGAGCTGAGATCGTACCACTGCACTCCAGTCTGGTGACAGAACAAGACTTAATATCAAAAAAAAAAAAAAAAAAAAAAAAATCATTTTCAGCTTACAGGCCATACAAAACAGGCAGGGGGCCAAATACGGCCAATTTATCATAGTTTGCTGACCCTACCATCCTTATACAAATTATGTTCAAGACTAGGTGTGGTTTTTAGCTATTTTAAACTGCTAAACAATAGCTAAATATATCCTTATTTTTAGTCCAATCTAACAGAGGTAACTTTTCAACAATATTGCCAGACTTTTAAAAATCACATGTTCTGTAATCCAAAGAGTCTGCATAAGAACATTCAAAAAACATACCAGCACACTTGAGAGTCTGTCATTATATTCAAACCAACAGAGCTAATGTAAGAAAAACCTTGGCCCTAACCTGCAGGCACTCCATTCCTTTGGCTCATTTCCATGAGAAAGACAGGTGACCATCTATTTCATCACAAATTCTGGCTAGGATGTCAAGGCCATTGTTTACCTGACTGCAAAAGCCTATGATCTATGTTTAATCTGCAGGATAAAATAATAAACTCTAGGCAACATAAAACTTCTCATAAACAAATCTTAACAAAAGGCCTTAATATATAAACTAAATAAATTTCTAAAGAATTCCACGTTCTTCTATTCTTCTACCAATCATTCAACCAGTATAGTCCATTAGAAAACATGACAGTTTTGTGATGCTTTGACAGTTTTGCTACTTTTTGATAGTTTTTCCCATATAGAATCCTATTTTCTGAATCTTATTTCAATATTTCACCTACAGCTACCCAAAGAATGTTATAAGAAATTACTCCACAACACCCAGCACTGCATTTACCATAAAAAAAAAAAAAAAAAAAAAAAAAAAAAATTGTAGCTGGAAGCACTCCCCTTGAAAACTGGCAAAAGATAAAGTCCCCCTCACTCCTATTCAAAATAGTATTGGAAGTACTGGCCAGAACAATCAATTAAGGAGAAAAAAAATAAAGGACATTCAAATTGGAAGAAAGAAGCGAAGCTATCCCTGTTGGCAGACAACATGATTCTATACCTAGAAAACCCCAGTCTCGGCCCAAAAGCTCCTTCATCTGATAGACAACTTCAGCAAAATTTCAGGACCCAAAATCACTAGCATCCCTATCCTATACACCAACAACAGCCAAGCTGAGAGCCAAATCAGAAAGGCAATCCCATTCACATCTGCTGCAAAAAGAATAAAATAACTAGGAATACAGCTAACCAGAGAGATTAAAGATCTCTACAATAAGAATTACAAAACACTGCTCAAAGAAATCAGAGATGAGGCAAACAAATGGAAATACATCCCATGCTCATGGATAGGAAGAATCAATATCCTTAAAATGGCCATTCTGCCCAAAGCAATTTGGACTCAATGCTATTCTTATTAAACTACCAATGACATTCTTCACCGAACTAATAAAAGCTATTTAAGAATTCATATGAAATCCAAAAAGAGCCCAAATAGCCAAAGCAATCCTAAGCAAAAAGATCAATGCTAGGGGCATCATGTTACCTGGCTTCAAACTATACTACAGGACTACAGTAACCAAAACAGCATGGTACTGGTATTAAAACAAACACACAGACTAATGAAACAGAATAAAGTCCAGAAATACAGCTACACATCCACAATCATCTGATCTTTGACAAAGCTCACAAAACAAGCAATGGGGAAAGGACTCCCTATTCAATAAATGGTGCTGGGATAACTGGCTAGTCACATGCGAATGACTAAAACTGGACCCCTTCCTTACACAACAGACAAAAAAAATCAACTCAAGATGTTATAAAGACTTAAATGTAAAACCCAAAACTATAAAAACTCTGGAAGACAACCTAGACAATACCATTCTGGACATAGAAATGGGCAAAAATTTCATGACAAAGATGTCAAAAGCAATCACAAAAAAAGCAAAGATTGACAAATGGGATCTAATTAAACTAAAGAGCCTTTGCACAGCAAGAGAAACTACCAACAGACTAAACAGATAACCTACAGAATGGGAGAAAATTTTTGCAAACTATGCTGACAAAGATCTAATATCCAGTATCTAAAAAATGTACACAAATATGAGAAAAAAAAATCCTATTAAAAAGTAGGCAAAGGACATGAGCACTTTTCAAAAGAAGACATATGTGCAGCCAACATGCATATGTACAAAAGCTCAACATCACTGATCATGGGAGAAAAGCAAATCAAAACCATGAGATAATATCTCACACCAGTCAGAATGGCTATTATCAAAAAGTCAAAAAATAACAGATGCTGGCGAGATTGAGAAGAAAAGAGAACATTTATACACCGTTGGTGGGAGTGTAAAATAGTTCAACCATTGTGGAAAGCAGTGTGGCGATTCTTCAAAGAGCTACAACTACCATCTAACCCAGCAATCCCATTACTGGTTATATATCCAGGGGAATATAAATCATTCTGCCATAAAGACATATGCAGCACACGAATGTTCACTGCAGCACTATTCACAACAGCAAAGACATGGAATCAACTTAAATGCCCATCAGTGACAGACTGCATAAAGAAAATGTGGTACATATACACCATGGAATACTGTGCAGCCATGAAAAAGAAGGAAATCATGTCTTCTGCAGGAACATGGATGGAGCTGGAGGCCATAATCCTTAGCAAACCAACATAGGAACAGAAAACCAAATACTGCCTGTTCTCACCTATAAGTGGTAGCTAAATGATGAGAACTCACAGACACAAAGAAGGGTCCAACAGACACTGGGGTCTACTTGAGGGTAGAGGATAGAAAGAGGGACAGGAGTAGAAAAAATAATTACTGGGTACTAGGTTTAGTACCTGAGTGACGAAATAATCTGTACAACAAACCTCTGTTACATGAGCTTACCTATTTCACAACCCTGCAAATGTACCCCTGAACCAAAAAACTTAAATAAAAAAAAAAAGGGCGGGTGGAGAGGGGTAAAAAATAAATAAAATTTTAAAAAATTTTAAAAAAAGAAATTACTCTGCAAAACCCAATGCTGTGTTAACTATTAAAAAAAATATTGTAGGCCAGGCATAGTGGCTGACACCTGTAATCCTGGCAGTTTGGGAAGCCGAGGGGAGGATTGTTTGAGTCCAGGAGTTCGAAACCTGCCTGGACAACATACCAAGATCCCTTCTCTACAATTTTTTTTTTTAAATTAGCCAGGTGTGGTGGCACATACCTATAATCCTAGCTATTTGGAAGGCTGAGGCAGGAGGATCACCTGTGGCCATGAGTTTGAGGTTGCAGTGAGCCATGATCACTCCAGCCTGGACAATAAAGCAAGACCCTGTCTATTTTTTAAAAAAGAAAGAACCCTTGGGAGAAATTCCTCAGGCAGTACCATCAAGGAAGGAATGTTTTTGTCAAAAGATTTGTATGCCTTTATACCTTATAGATGCTATATATATGATAGCCCAACATAAAATTGTCTTTAGCCACTAGGAAACAAAACTTTCACCATTCACCTCTAGTAACGGTGAATGAACTTAAGGCTTATATTTACATGTACTTCTAAAATCAGCTTCAAATTCCTGAATTATTTTTCTTGAATTTTCTTTTGAAAAAAAATCCTAACACATCATGTTCATGTAAGCTATCTCAAAAAAAGTGGGCATAAGTATTCAGTAGCATAAGAAACTATCACACATAGGCATCAATCAATCAGAAAATAATGTACCTCAAACAACTGCAATTTGTTCTTTGTGTGGCTTCAACAAAATCCCAGGATGCCACTTTAGCAGCTGTCTCTTCTTCACATAGACCACCTGATGAAGCAGAATACTTCCTCCTAAGATTTAAAGTTATAAAATTCTTTAGAATTCATAAAATTTTCTATTAAACCTGAATTTAGCATTAAAATGGATTTTAAACATCAATGTTTTGAGTAAAGAAAAACCATACAAATGACTGTTTATACTTTATATATCTTCTAATTATAATTATCAACATGCAATGTTTGAACTTATAAATGAAAATACACACTTTTTCTGTGCTCTGTTCATATTGCATTCTTGCCAAACTCTATCCACCACATGATTTGCTAATTTTCTGGGTATTTTCCCACCATGGTGGCTAGTACTATCGGAGTTGAAGCCATCAGATACTGAAGAAAATTTGACCCACTTCTGAGCAGACTGAGGATCAACTGAAAACAAAACAGAACAAAAAACAGGCTGTAGGAGAATAAAGGTAGGTTTAAAGTAACATTGTTTGGGTTTTTAAATAATTTGTGATACAAGCTGCTCCAGCTATCTGGTAAACTTATATTTTGAGACAAAAAGCATGTTACTCTTTGGAACCAGATCTCATTTGGCAAATGTGGCAATCAAGTACATCTCTGCAACCTTGCACTCTCAGTGCCAAAAGTGGGGTTCTCAGGAGCCGGGTAGGGCCAGCACAGGGTGGCGTGTGGGAGGAGGTAGGCTGAGGGCAAAGGAGGAAGTGTCCCATGGATCATGCTGTATAAGCAAACCAGATTATCCTAATGTGTCCAGAGTGATGTCATCAAGGTTGGGGGGCTGGTAGGTAGACCAGAAGGACTCAGGAGTAGTGGGAAGGGGCCCTGGACACTAGCCATGGAGATGCTGCACAGAGCCTGGCTTCCACATCGAGGTGGGAATTGGAGCCCAGGATGAGCCTCTGCGGTGGCACTCTGGCCCTTCTGTCCCTGCCAGCCTCTGACCTGGGTCAGTTAATCATTGCTGGACTCTGGCCAAACATTTTGGTGGTCTTATCCAGTTGGAAATTAGTCTTTTTTTTAAGGTCAACTGAGCATGAGCATATTTCCCCTCCAATTTTAAAAAGCTCTTCTGTGTTTTTGTATATTTCTCCTCTGTTGTAAAAAGCTCTTCTGTGTTTTTGTTTTAAAGACGGATGAGGGAGGGCAGGGATATAAACCTGTTGCATGAGTCGATGGGTCAGAACTTTAGTATATGCATGCCTCCTTCTGAGTGATGGCATTTTGCAGAAAATAAGCACCTTGGTAACTAAACCCCTTTTAATAGCTAAAAAGCTTTAGTTCTGTATTGACAGTTACCATAAAAGTCTGGGTTCATTTTTGTAGGACTTAATGCCTAAGAATTAGAACACAGCAATGGGCTGCTGTTGGAGTAATGTATATTAAAATTATAAACACATAAAGCTTTAAAAATAAAAGTATGCAACTTTTAAATACAGAAAGCAAAATATCTAAAACAGGGAATGCAAACTGGATGGCAGTATATCAGTGCTGATTTTCTGACTAAGAGGATGGAGTAATAGTTGTATATGAGAGTGTCCTTAATTTTGGGAAATACACTGAGTACACAGGAGTGATAGGACGTTATGTCCGTAGCTTGTTCTCAAATGGTTCAGAAAAAGACCAACGATAATGAATGTACATATAGAGAGGGCGATGAAGTAAGTAATAACAGTTTGGAAATCTGGTTAAGGAAATTCTTTGCACTACACTTGTGACTTCTCAAGAAGTTTGAAACTATTTCAAAATAAATTATTTCATAAATACTTACTGTACATAAAATAACAGATTACCAGAGTTGAGGAGACAAATTACTTCAATACCTGTTTGGACTTCCTCAGGAGACGTAGGTGGTGTAAGCGTAACTGAAGACATAGCAGGATCTCTTGTGGAAGCAGGCACTTGGTGGACACCCAAGCAAGATGATGAACAGTGAGTGGATCCCACAGAGCTAGGAGTAGGAATGTCTGACTGAGGGACTAGAACAAAGCATGCTGGGTAGATCATTCTGACACCAGCTGAAAGGGGAAAAAAGGACAGGAAAACCAATTACCTTTGTGACTAGTGAATTAGTTTCATTCAAAAGCACTACAATGTAAAAGTAGGTATCATATCTGTACAAATAAAAATGCATTTTTATAAATATAAGCTTCTTTGGCATAAGTTTTTCTTTTTTTGAGAAGAAACCACAATAAGCTGTTAGTAGTGGTACCTTTGCTAAGAGAGATTTGGAAAAAAGCAGCTTTCCTTTTCATTTTTTAGATTTCTAGAAATGTGTTTTTTAAAACCTTTATTTGCACCTCTGACCAACTTAATGTGTCACTTTTTCAATTTTATTTTGTGAGTTTAACAAAGGTAATCTGGACACTAGAATTATGAACCATTTTCTATATGCCTCTATTTTAAAAGTCTAAAAAAATGTGTTTTGTTTTTGTTTTTGTCACAACTGCTCTGATAGTAACGTGTTTATTAAAAGTGAACACTGGTAATCTTTTTATAAAACAAAAAAACCAGGCTGGGCATGGTGGCTCACACCTGTAATCCTTTGGGAGGCTGTGGCGGGCAGGTCACTTGAGGTCAGGAGTTCAAGACCAGCCTGGCCAACATGGTGAAACCCCATCTCTACTAAAACTAGAAAAATTAGCTGAATGTGGTGGTAGGCACCTGTAATCCCAGTACACAGGAGAGTGAGGCAGGAGACTGGCTTGAGCCTGTGAGGTGGAGGTTGCAGTGAGCAGGGATTGCATTGTTGCAGCCCCCTGGGCAATAACAAAGCAAGATTCTGTCTCAAAAAAAAAAGACGTAATCTTCAGGTATAACATAACATCACCATTGGATTCCATTAAATACAATATGGTAGATTCTAATTTCAATTATCTGCTAAATTATACTTTCTCCATGCCTCCTCTCATGCCTCTCTAAGGTAGAGTATATGTCTTTACTCCACTGTCAGGCTGTGTGACTTGCTCTGGAATGTAAGCATGTGATACGAGCCACATCCTAACAGAAGCTTTAAGTGTTCTTGTAGGGTCAGTGCAGTTTCTCTTACTTCTGTCTTCTGCTATGAGATTAACATGTCACAGATATGGGTACTTTGTTAACCTGTGTCCCTGAATGAGAGGACATCAAGAATACAGCCAATCAAAAAATCTGACCCTTTGGGGCTGGGCACGGTGGCTCACGCCTGTAATCTCAGCACTCTGGGAGGCCGAGGAGGGTGGATCACTTGAGGTCAGGAGTTTGAGACCAGCCTGGCTAACACACCTAAACCCTGTCGCTACATGGTGGTGTGTGCCTATAATCCCAGCTACTCAGGAGGCTGAGGCAGGAGAATCACTTGAACCCAGGTGGTGAAGGAGGTTGCAATGAGCCAAGACAGTGCCACTGCAATCCAGCCTGGGCAACAGAGCGAAAACTCTGTCTCAAAAAAAAAAAAAAAAAACATACAACACAGGTTGTCAACTTTTCAGCCTCCAAATATTACTTCAACCATAATTAATTGGCCCATTCTAAGCATGGTTCTCTCTAGACAGAATATATTTCCCTGCACCAATGACTTTGGCTTGGCCATTTAACTAGTTCTGTCTAATGCAATATAAGCAGATGCTACAGCAGAGGCTTTGAATACACGTATATGGTTAGGCTCAGTCCCTGTTATTCTTCTGTTCTCATAAGAACAGCGTGTCCTATATACTGGGATATTCATTTAACCTAGGTTACAGAATCAGCAGATACATGGGGCCAAACCACAGCTAAGATGCACCCCTTAAGTAATGTAGGCAGGAAATAAGAAATAATGTTTGGTGTTGAAAGCCACTGAGTTATTAGACTTGTTTGTACTCGGCAAAATATAACTAATACACACAATCATGCATTTTCCCTTTAGGAATAATACTCAGTATCCATACCAACAAGAACTTCTACTGCAGCTAAAGAATCATCTTCCCAATCCATATCTTCCTGTTTTTCTTCAGACATGTCCTTCAAGCAACATGAGATAGGATAGAACTGTTTCCATTCACCAATTAATTTTTTTGTAGCTGAATCAGACATCTTGAATGCCTGTCCTGTTAGGGTGCCATTTAATCCAAATGGGCATAAGATAACTAGAAACCCAAAGCAGACATCAAATAAGTAACTAAGGACTGTTTTACCAAATAAGAACACAGTGAACAATATGGCAAGTAATTGTGCAATTATAAAAAAGAAAAGGAAACCAATAATAACCATTCCAGAGAAAAATCAATTTATTATACTTCATTATTGTGAAGAGAAAGTTCAACACTGAGTTTATTATATAAACTGTTAAAAATCCGTCTGCCCAAACTAATAGAAAGAAGCTGGGAATATTTGTGTATCCTTCAATTTACTTCGACTCCCACTGAGAAAAAGCATTCTAAGAAAAAGCAATCTGAGGAAAAACAATACAGATATATAAACCTAAATATTTATAATGTACTGCCACGTAAACTTTAAAAAGTAAATATTAGGTTTAAAGTTAAAATAAGAACACACTGCCAAGCCTTAAAAGCAAATCAGCAATGTTATAAAATATTTCTTCTAGAAGTCAACTATTTTCATAGTATAAATAGTATCAAAAGTCCCTTTGTAGCTATGTTAAACATGGCTTTGACCAGGTGTGGTGGCTGACACCTGTAATCCCAGCACTTTGGGAAGCTGAGGCAGGCGGATCACTAGAGGTCAGGTGTTCAAGACCGGCCTGGCCAACATGATGAAACCCAGTCTCTACTAAAAAAACACAAAAATTAGCCAGGCGTGGTGGCATGTGCCTGTAGTCCCAGCTGCTCAGGAGGCTGCGGCAGGAGAATTCCTTGAACCCAGGAGGCAGAGGTTGCAGTGAGCTGGGATCACGCCACTGCACTTCAGCCTGGGTGACAGAGCAAAACTGTCTCCAAAACCAAAGAAACAAAATATGGCTTAGATGACCTGACACACAAGATAACCTTGAAAACTTTAACACATATAATCACAATATGCTATCTAAGAGAACATTTTAAACTACTTCACTGTTCATGGTCAAGAATTTTTTGGTAATACCTGTATTTAAAAACTTATTTCACTGACTTAATACTCTAATGGGGGAGAAAAAAGTAAATGACACCAAAATCATCATTAGGCTAAAGACCGGGCGGGAATTCCATTAATCCCAAAATGTAAAATTATGAAGTTCAATAAGGATCTTCTTGAAACAATAAAAGATCAAATACCTACTATAATAAAATAATCTACCTTGAAATGGGCTATTAGACTGTTGAGCAAGGGTGATATGCTCTTCACTGAGAAGGTATACAGGTTGATGTTGGTTAATTTCCACACTGGTACAAACATTGCTGTCTCCATGCAAGAAAAAGGTGAAAGAGCAGGACAAGTGTTCACTAATAAAGAAGAAAAAGTTATATTTTAGTGATGACTAGTGGCCAAAAATTATGTTAACTTGCTTTTGTTTATTAGGAAGTATGCAAAAATGCACATTCTATTTTGCTCGGAAATTCTACTTCATCAGAAGGAAAAAAAAATCATGGATATGAGCAAAGACTTAGCTATAAGAAATGTTCTTCACAACACTGTTTATAACAGGAAAGGCTGCAAATAGAGGAACCAGTTAAACGAGTTAGGTACATTCACACATAGAATTATTATATAGCCACAAAAATAAGTTAAAGTAGAAGAGTACGTTTATTGGAAAGGGACAGGCTACCAAAATAGTAGGGTCATTTTTTTCTTTTTCTCTTTTAAAGAAAGAGACAGGGTCTCACTATGTTGCCCAAGCTGGCCTATAACTCCTGGGCTCAAGGGGTCCTCTTGTCTCAGCCTCCAGAGTAGCTGGAACTACAGGCATGTGCCACTGGACCCAGCTCTCTCGTTTTTAACGAAAAAAAAAAAAGGTTTTCTTTGGTTAAAGGGAATCAAGGCAGACAACAGAATGGTGACTTACTTTTTATCTTTGCCTATTTCCCCTTCTCCCTAAGAAACTAAACACAAATGTTTCTCATTTTATTAATTCTCAATTGGGCTAATCAATCATTTCATGCAATCCCCTCCCAACCAATAGCGTTATTTTAAAAAAATAACGGGTCTCACAGTTGAAGGCATCCTAGAATAAAGAAAATATGCAAAGTAGTACACCTTAATGAAACTCAGGTATGGCTGAGTATACAGGTTGAAAAATAGAAGTTCCCAAGGACATCAGAGGTATCCTCTTTAAGAAACAATTAGAAGGGTCAAGTTGCCCAGAAGAGGATAAGAGTAAGAAGAATAAACTCTTCTCATTCCTTCTCCATTCATTTACCTTAGAAATTCATTCATTTACCTTAGAAATTCATCTTAAAGAACCAGTTTCTTAAACTATGACAATCAACTCAAAACATGTTATACATATATGTATAAGCCCTCTTGAATTTCTTCTGGATAAGCAGAACACAGTGAATTAAAATTAAGTTATGGTAAAAGTAATGCTAGAATTAACAGAAGTACAGATGGTAGAAAAGAGGTGAAAAGCAATACAGGGCTAAAATTTCTTCATCTCATATACATGAAGGAGTCAATACAAATGTCTAAAGTTGATAGAACAAGAAATAGAAATTTAAACATGTTATTTAAGTTACAAATGTAACTGACAAAGGCTAGTCTGAAGGTAGTGAGTTATCTCAATTGACTGTTCAGTTAGTTGCACATCAAACTCTTTGTTCTACTCTTTCCCCTCTTTCCACTACCGCACATGACTAGTCTAAAAAATGTTTTCAGTACAAAAGAAATTTTTTAAGGCTGGGCACAGTGGCTCACGTCTGTAATCCCAGCACTTTGGGAGGCCAACGCAGGTGGATGACTTGAGGCCAAGAGTTGGAGACCAGCCTGGCCAACATGGTGAAACCCCCAGATCCCTAAAAATACAAAAAATTAGTCAGGTGTGGTGGCATGTGCCTGTAATCCTAACTACTTGGGAGGGTAAGGCATGAGAATTGCTTGAACCTGGGATGTGGAAGCTGCAGTGAGCCAAGATCACGCCACTGTACTCCAGTCTGCGCGACCGGGTAAGACTCTGCTTCAAAATAAATAAACAAATAACGTAACAGAAAAACTAAAAATAATATAAAAACCTTATTGTTCTTGGTAAGAAAGCAGTGACACTGGCCAGGAGTGGTGGCTCACGTCTGTAATCCCAGCACTTTGGGAGGCCGAGGTGGGTGGCTCGCCTGAGGTCAGGAGTTCAAAACCAGTTTGGTCAACATGGTGAAACCCTGTCTCTACTAAATACAAAAAAAGTAGCTAGCTGGGTGTGGTTGCAGCTGCCTGTAGTCCCTGCTACTCAGGAGGCTGAGGCAGGAGAATCGCTTGAACCTAGGAGGTGGAGGTTGCAGTGAGCTGAGATCATGACACTGCACTCTCATCCTAGACAACAGAGCAAGACTCTGTCTCAAAAAAAAAAAAAAAAAAAAGCAGTGACATTGTTGAAAGTTAATAGAGCAATGCTCAAGAGGCAGTATAAAAATCTCTGGAATTATGACAGTAGCCACCAGAAGTAAAAAAAAAATTAAAAAAACAAAAAAACACATACAAAAAACCAACCTGGTTGCTTCTGGGAATGGGACTTGGATATTGGAGCAGGAATCTTTAAGGTTTTTAAATTTATAATACCATTCTGTTCTGCTTGAATTATATTAAAGTTTTTTAATTTTCAAAAATTATAAATTCTATATATTAATCAGTCATTACTATACATTTCCTCATGCCAATAATTTGTATTTTTATTTAATAAAGTTTTATTTAGGAATAATTTTAAATTTACAGAAAAGTTGCAAAGCCAGCATAGGGCACTCCCATATACCTTTCACCCAATTTCCCCTAATGTTAATGAACACCTTAGATAATTAACACTGATATATTACTCTTAGCCAAACTCCAGTCTTTATTTGGATTTTCTACTTATGTATATTTTCTGTTCCAGGATCCAATCCAAGACACCACATTGAATTTAACCAACAATTTTTAATAGAAAAGAAAAAAAAATAGCCAGTACAGTGGCTCACGCCTGTAAGCCCAGCACTTTGGGAGGCTGAGGCAGGCAGATCACCTGAGGTCAGGAGTTCGAGACCAGCCTGACCAATATGGTGAAACCCCATCTTATTTAAAAAAAAAAAAAAAAAAAAAAGAAAAGAAACAAAAGAAAAAAAAAAAATAAGTTAAGCTTGTTTCTACTCTGATTAAAATGTTAATCTTAGCCAGGCGAGGTGGCTCACTCCTGTAATCCCAGCACTTTGGGAGGCCGAGGCATGTGGATGATGACGAGGTCAGGAATTCGAGACCAGCCTATCTAATGCGGTGAAATCCT